GTTAAAGTCAGAGCATACACATTCACCGAGGCACCTAGTACAAATCAAACAGGAGAATTTAGCATTGAAATAACTAGGCGAATTTAGCATTGAAATAACTGAGTGATTAGCTAGTGACTGGTCACAGAAATGGCTATGTTGAAGTCAAGGCCTACACATCTGAGCTATTCACAGTAACTGGGTATACAATACAATATATAATGAATACTATATAGTGAACCAATAAAAAACTAAAATATAAATTACCTTAATGTTATCAATAAACTCTATATTCTCCAATCAGCTAAGCTACCAACAATAAGTCGTGGATTCTTACCCTCAACTTTAGCAACACGGATAGCTACGGGCCCCGTTCAGACGGACGAGTTCATCCATGGTCGGAACAGAGGAGGGGGAGAGAGACAGCTGCGAGGCGCTGTTATACTCCATATTGTAAACCATACCATTAACCGTGGTGTGAGAGGTATTAAGAGTCAATGCTGACGAAAGAGCTGCGGTCTGAAGGTCATCGTAAAATACAATTAATTAAGAACAGAAATGGTTTAAAACATCTTTCCAATGGTTATTGTGAATGGTATATGTGAATGGCCTCATGAACGAATCTCTCATGGTAGCCGGTTGGTTTGCAAAGAACCTCCGTCTTGGAGAAGTCAATGTCATGTGAGCCCACTGAATTATAACAGTGATCTGCCACGGCAGAGGAGTTCGTTCTACCGTGTTTCAAGTCTGCTTTATGTTCGCGGATGCGGTCCGAGATATGTCGTTTGGTTTCTCCAATGTAGCTACTACCACAGAGGCACTTTAGTTTGTAAACGCCCGGGTACTGTATGTCTGGAACAGCATCTTTTACAGATGGAACTAAATCACGGATTTTATGCACTGTGTTGAATCGGACCTGGATCTTGTGTTTATTCAGGATTTTGGAGATCTTTTTAGTGACCCCTGCAATGTAGGGTAAGGTGATGGTTTTGAGTGGCTCCACAAGAGGATCCTTCTTCATGACTGGAGTGATGGCTTTGCGGATTGTGTAGTCGGAGTAACCATTAGCCCTGAGAGCCTGGTGTACATGCTTGAGTTCACTGGTAATGTGTTCCTGGTCAGAAATGCATTGGGCTCTATGGTATAGAGCCTTGATGAGGGAGTTCTTCTGGGATGGATGGTGGTGGGAATCCGGTTTCAAGTAAGCATCTGTATGGGAAGCTTTCCTGTAGACAGAGTGGCTGATTGAACCATCACGTCTCCTTTTAATTAAGACATCCTAAAAGGGTAGTTTGCCATCTTTTTCGATCTCCATGGTAAATCTGATGGCTGGGTGTATGGAATTGATGTGGTCGCGGAATTGGTCTAGAGCAGGCTGGCCATGTGGCCAGATGACAAAAGTGTCATCCACGGACCTCTTCCATAAGGTCGGGCATAGAGTGGCAGTCTAGATGGCGTCAGTTTCAAATTTTTCCATGAATACGTTGGCTACAACCGGAGATAGGGGGGATCCCATTGGGGTGCCCTCAGTTTGTTTGTAGAAAGTTCCATTCCAGGTGAAGTATGTGTTGGTTAAGCAATGTCTCACCAGTGGGGGTACATCAGTATGCAGTCCTTGATGAACCAGGTCTTCAATGATAGCGATGGTGTCAGGTACCGGGACTTTGGTGAACAAGGACACCACATCAAAACTGACAAGCAGGTCGTCTGGGGACAGGGAAATGCCTTTGATTGTCGATACCAGGTGAGTAGAATTTAGTACCGCAGAGATTGTTTTTCCAGTGAAAGGTCGCAGTATATCAGCAAGAAAACGTGCCAGTTTATAGGTGGGGGAGTTGATAGTAGAGACGATGGGACGAAGGGGTGTATCTTCTTTGTGTATCTTTGGAAGGCCATATAATCTTGGTGGTCTGGCAGCAGAGGGTTTCAACGAGAAGCGTTTGATCTCATCAATTAATGCTGTTGAATCAGAGATGATTTTGTTCGTTTTGGTAACCAGGCTGTTGGTGGGATCTCTTTTTATTTTTGTATAGCTGCCATCGTTGAGTAGTTCTTGAATTTTGTTGTTATATTCTGTTTTGTCCATGATGACAGTGGTATTGCCCTTGTCGGCTGAGAGGACGACAATATCATCCCTCTTTTTTAATTGAGATAATTCAAAACGTTCGTCTTTGCTGATGTTGCTGGGTGGAAACTTTGCGTTTTTGAGGGTTGCAGCGATTTCAGATCTTGCTACGTCTGCAGAGATGTGACTCAAGCCCTTGAGTGCAACGTCGACATGGGCAATGATATCATTAACCGGTAAGTGTCTCGGTGTGACAGCAAAATTTAGACCTTTAGCTAAAACGGATTTCAGACCATCAGAAATGGAACTGTTACTGCGATTAATTACGACTTTGTTGACGTCTATCTTTTCGGTGTGTGGATCCGATTTTTTGCTGGAGAGGTGATTGAATTTGGAAATCAAATTGTCCCTACATTTGGTCGACATAGTGGCAGCCGAAGAGGTAGTCATATTGTCTACATGTTCCCAATCCGATGTAGACATTGTTGCTGTCAATGTTAAGTGTGATTTGTAGAGTGTCTTTTCTAACTGATCGAGTTCGGTGCGTGTAAGTCTGATTTTTTCTGAGATAAGAGCGAAGCTAGTTCTAGCTAGAATTCGTTTTGCATTGAGAGAAGTTGCAACAGCAGAGGTTAGTGTAAATGCGGTTGGAATTACCTTAGAGTCGCGGCATCTCTTCAGAAAGGTAGCTATCCGTGTTGCTAAAGTTGAGGGTAAGAATCCACCCATTTTTTCGCCATATAGCATTGTGATATATAACGACTTATTGTTGGTAGCTTAGCTGATTGGAGAATATAGAGTTTATTGATAACATTCAGGTAATTTATATGTTAGTTTTTTATTGGTTCACTATGTAGTATTCATTATATATTGTATTGTATACCCAGTTACTGTGAATAGCTCAGATGTGTAGGCCTTGACTTCAACATAGCCATTTCTGTGACCAGTCACGAGCTAATCACTCAGTTATTTCAATGCTAAATTCGCCTAGTTATTTCAATCTTTTTTGTGATCCCAGAAATGTAGGGTAAAGTGATGGTTTTGAAAGGCTCCTCAAGAGGGTTCTTCTTCTATCACTCAAACCATGAAGAAGAACCCTCTTGAGGAGCCTTTCAAAACCATCACTTTACCCTACATTGCTGGGATCACAAAAAAGATCTCCAAAATCTTGAATAAACACAACATCCAGGTCCGTTTCAACACATTACATAAAATCCGTGATCTGGTTCCGTCTGTAAAAGATGTGATTCCGGACATACAATACCCTGGTGTCTACAAACTAAGTTGCCTCTGTGGTAGTAGTTACATTGGAGAAACCAAACGCCATGTCTCGGACCGCATTCGTGAACATAAAGCAGACCTTAAACACGGTAGGACCAACACCTCGGCCGTAGCAGATCATTGTTCTAATTCAGTAGGCTCACATGCCATTGACTTTTCCAAGACGGAGGTTCTTTGTAAGCCATCTGGCTTCCATGAGAGATTCGTTCATGAGGCTATCCACATATACAAGCACAGAGACAATTTCAACCGAGAAGATGGATTCTATCTTAGCAATCATTGGAAAGATTTGATAAATCATTTCAGTTCTTGATTGATTGTTCACGCTTACAGTGGCTTTCAGACAGCATACATTATAAAAAATTTCGTCTCCCCCCTCCTCTTTTCAAAAAATAGATGGACTAGTCCTGGGCAAACTGCCAATCGCTGCGCGTGACGCCAACGTTTTTTTTATAAATAAATGTGCCGTTTTTAAAAATAAATTTATGCAAACCGACACACCTGATGATGACCGTTTGAGTTATGGTCGAAACGTCGTGAGAATTTTTTATTGTTTTATATATATTTTGTTATTTTGTTGTTTCTCTTCAACGTGACTTTACCGAAAAAACTAAGAATATAGAAACGTGTTGTCTATATTTATTTATAAAGTTGTGCATTTTGATGTGACGTCACGTTTCTCAAACTCCCCCCCCTTCTCGTCACAAACGTCTGACCCCCCCCCCCCCAAGGTGCGTGACGTCATTTATGGACGGCCCCTTGGCAAAAAGGTCCAATTTTATTTTTATAAATGGTATTGTTTTTGTTGTTGCTGTAACGTCCTGACCCCCCCCCCCCCCCCCCCCCCGTTGCCCCTACTGGACATTTGTTTAAAAAAGAGCTTAATAGATCATCGGATTTTGATTCTTGAGTGAGCGTCGAAGTGACGCTACCGCCGCCATTTTGCGTAGGGACGCCCGGGGGGGGGGGGCTGCCGCATTGCGTTTGTGACGTCACCGCGTTGCGACTCGCCGAGGGCGGTGGGGGGAGGAGCAAAACGCCACGCCCCCCTGGCTTTTCCCCACTTAAGATGGCGGCTGGTCCTCCTCGACTGGCGGTCATGTTGGGTGGGGAGGCACGGCCCGGTGGGGGGGGGGGGTATGTTGGGGTTTTTGTGTCGGTGCGGGCGGGGCGGCCATGTTGGGTGGGGGTTGGTGGCCATGCTGGGTGGGGGTTATTCTGGGTTTGGCGTTGCGAATGGAGCAGGGTGCCATTGGCGGCCTTGTTGGGTTGGGGGCGGTGGCCATGATGGGTGGGGTATAATGTTGGTCGTGGCGGGGCTTGGTGGCCATGTTGGGTTGGGTGTAATGTTCAGCATGGCCGAGGCTTGGCGGTCATGTTGGGTGGGGGGTAATGGGCGTGGCGGCCATGTTGGGTGGGGGTAATTTTGGGCGTGGTCGGGGCTTGACGACCATGTTGGGTCGGGGGATAATGTTGTGAGTGGCCGGGGCGTGGTGGCCATTTTGGGTGGGGATTAATGTTGGGCTTGGTGGCCATGTTGTGTGGGGGGTCTAATGTTGGGCGTGGTCGGGGCTTGGCGGCCATGTTGGGTTGGGAAGGGTAATGTTGGGCGTTGCCGGGGCGTGGTGGCCATGTTGGGTTGGGATGAGTAATGTTGGGCGTGGCCGGGGCTTGGCGGCCATGCTGGGTGGGGGTGGGCTTGCAGCCAGGAGACGTCACCGCGCATCCGGGTCTCGGGTCTCCGCTCTCTTCTCGGTCTCCGTCTCTTCGCGTCCCCCATGGCCGCCCCGCTCAAGGACGGGAAGCTACCCACGACGGAGCGGGCGGTGAAGGGTGAGCGGCAGGAGGAGGCCGACGGCGAGGCGGCGGCGGGGGCGTGGGGGGGGTCGGCGTCTTGAGCGCATGCGGAGCTGGAGGCGAGACTCGGGCTGTGCGGCCTAGCGCCATTAGCAAAGCCTCGGTCTCGCCTGGGTTCTCTGCGGCGAATGGCGCCTTGTGGGGCCCCCGGGGGTGGTAAGGAGAGCGGGGTGGTGGTGGTGGGTGGTGGTAATGATGATGGGGCTATTAATGGATTGCGTGTCAGTGTGTGTCAAGTGTGCTGCTCTATGTTTGCGCTGCTGTGTCTGCTGTTGTGTGTGTGTCATTGTGCTGTGTGTCTGTTTGTCTGCTGTTGTGTGTATTCTGCTGTACGTGTCAATGTGCTAGTGTGTGTATGTCAATGTGCTGCTGTGTATCAGTGTGCTGTGTGCCAGTGTGTGTCAGTGCTGCCGTGTATCATTGTGGTGCTGTGTGCCAAGTCTACTGCTGCGTGTGTGTCAGTGTGCTGGTGTGTGTCAGTGTGCTGGTGTGTGTCTGTGCTGTGTGTGTGTCAGCGTGTTTGTTTGTGTCAGTGTGCTGTATGTCTGTGCTGTGTGTGTGTGTCAGCGTTCTGTGTGTCAGCGTGCCGTGTGTGTGTCAATGTGTATGTGAGTGCTGTGTGTCAGTGTGCTGTGTGTGTGTCAGCGTGCTGTGTGTCAGCGTGCCGTGTGTGTATCAGTGTGCTGTGTGTCAGTGTGCTGTGTGTCAGTGTGCTGTGTGTCAGTGTGCTGTGTGTCAGTGTGCTGTGTGTCAGCGTGCTGTGTGTGTCAGCGTGCCGTGTGTGTCAATGTGTATGTCAGTGTGATGTGTGTGTGTGTCAGCGTGCTGTGTGTGTGTGTCAGCGTTCTGTGTGTCAGCATGCCGTATGTGTGTGTCAATGTGTATGTGAGTGTGCTGTGTGTGTGTCAGCGTTCTGTGTGTCAGCGTGCCGTGTGTGTGTCAGTGTGCTGTATGTCAGCGTGCTGTGTGTGTGTCAATGTGTATGTGAGTGTGCTGTGTGTGTCAGCGTGCTGTGTATGTCAGCGTGCCGTGTGTGTGTCAATGTGTATGTCAGTGTGCTGTGTGTTAGCGTGCTGTGTGTCAGCGTGCCACGTGTGTGTGTCAATTTGTATGTCAATGTGCTGTGTGTATGTCAATGTGCTGTGTGTGTCAGTGTGCTGTGTGTGTGTCAGTGTGCTGTGTGTGTGTCTGCGTGCTGTGTGTGTGTCAGCGTGCTGTGTGTGTGTCAGTGTGCTGTGTGTGTGTCAGCGTGCTGTGTGTGTGTCAGCGTGCTGTGTGTGTGTCAGCGTGCTGTGTGTGTGTGTCAGCGTGCTGTGTGTGTGTCAGCGTGCTGTGTGTGTGTCAGCGTGCTGTGTGTGTGTCAGCGTTCTGTGTGTCAGCGTACCGTGTGTGTGTGTCAATGTGTATGTCAGTGTGCTATGTGTGTGTGTCAGCGTGCTGTGTGTGTGTCAGCGTTCTGTGTGTCAGCGTGCCGTGTGTGTGTGTCAATGTGTATGTGAGTGCTGTGTGTCAGTGTGCTGTGTGTGTGTCAGCGTGCTGTGTGTCAGCGTGCTGTGTCTGTGTCAATGTGTATGTCAGTGTGCTGTGTGTGTGTGTCAGTGTGCTGTGTGTGTGTCAGTGTGCTGTGCGTGTGTCAGTGTGCTGTGTGTGTGTCAGTGTGCTGTGTGTGTGTCAGTGTGCTATGTGTGTGTCAGTGTGCTGTGTGTGTGTCAGCGTGCTGTGTGTGTGTCAGCGTGCTGTGTGTGTGTCAGCGTGCTGTGTGTGTGTCAGTGTGCTGTGTGTCAGCGTGCCGTGTGTTTGTGTCAATGTGTTGTGTGGGTGTCGTGTGTCAGTATGTGTGTCAATGTTCTGTGTGTGTCAGTGTATGTGTCAGCGTGCAGTGTGTCAGTGTGCTGTGTGTCAGTGTCCTGGTGTGTGTCAGTGTCCTGCTGTGTGTCCATGTGCTGTTTGTCAGTGTGTGTCAGTGTGCTGTGTGTGTCAGTGTCCTGTTGTGTGTCAGTGTCCTGCTGTGTGTCGTGTGTTGTGTCTGTCAGTGTCCTGCTGTGTGTCAGTGTGCTGTGTGTCAGTGTCCTGGTGTGTGTCAGTGTCCTGCTGTGTGTCGTGTGCTGTGTGTGTCAGTGTCCTGCTGTGTGTCAGTGTCCTGCTGTGTGTCGTGTGTTGTGTCTGTCAGTGTGTGAGTCAGTTTGCTGTGTAGTGTAGCGGTTAGCGCGCTGAACTACAAACCCAGCAACCCGAGTTCGATTCCATCTCACAGCCAACAGCAGTGATGATGGTCTGAACCGGTTCTGGGCCTCCCCTAGATCGACTCAGCCTAAAATTAGTACCTTGTGCAGTGGGTTAAAACATTGCCTCTGGGCCACTGGGGAGACAAAGGTGGCCGGGTGTGGTGCTGGCCACCCCCCCCCGCCCCGTGCCATGCCGGCCTTCATAGATGCTGCTTGCTAACAGCACTTGCCCCAACAGTCTGTTAAGGCTACACGGGGGAGCTTTGTGCGTCTCTGTGTGCTGCTGTGTGCCAGTGTTTCGATTAGCGCCGTTGGCTCCGCACGGTGCGAAAGAAGTTCAACATAGTGCTGTGTGCGTCAGGGGTCATGCCGTTAGCGTGATGTATAACATTGGCCCGTTAATATTGAAGTGTCTTAAGAATGGTTTCACATTAGATGGGGTCAGTGCATTTAATTACAGGCCTTTGGATTGACGAGAAGATACATTATGAGACGCATATTGAACACATTAACCTTTAGTTAAGACAGAATCTTGGCTTTTAGTACAGGCGAGTTATCCGTATGTCCTGTGGTGAGGCATAATTTTTTCAAGGCAGTGACACTCCCAGTCTTTGGGCGCCGAAGTGGCTAGAATATATAGGAATAGGTTTTACCCTTTTAACTGGCACAAAAACTGAGACCTTTATTCAAGGCATCATGTTTGCAATAACCGCAACACAAGCAGTCAAAATGCAAACAAAAAATACAACTCTGATAATAATATGCACTGTCCTTGAATTTGATTGGTCCACACCCGAGACAGCTTTTCTTAGAGCCTAGTCTCCATTGGTGTTGGACCAGAAGACACCAAAAGGCGTACAACTCAAAAACAGCACACTATCAGAGTATTGAGGGCTCGGGGTGAGCATGTACATTATGAGACCTCCTTTGCCAGTAACAAGATATAGGAATAGGTTTTACCCTTTTAACTGGCACAAAAACTGACACCTTTATTCAAGGCATCATGTTTGCAATAACCACAACACAAGCAGTCAAAATGCAAACAAAAAAGACAACTCTGATAATAATATGCACTGTCCTTGAATTTGATTGGTCCACACCCGAGACAGCTTTTCTTAGAGCCTAGTCTCCATTGGTGTTGGACCAGAAGATGCCAAAAGGCGTACAACTCAAAAACAGCACACTATCAGAGTATTGAGGGCTCGGGGTAAGCATGTACATTATGAGACCTCCTTTGGCAGTAACAAGATATAGGAATAGGTTTTACCCTTTTAACTGGCACAAAAACTGACACCTATATCTTGTTACTGGCAAAGGAGGTCTCATAATGTACATGCTCACCCCGAGCCCTCAATACTCTTATAGTGTGCTGTTTTTGAGTTGTACGCCTTTTGGCATCTTCTGGTCCAACACCAATGGAGACTAGGCTCTAAGAAAAGCTGTCTCGGGTGTGGACCAATCAAATTCAAGGACAGTGCATATTATTATGAGAGTTGTCCTTTTTGTTTGCATTTTGACTGCTTGTGTGGTGGTTATTGCAAACATGATGCCTTGAATAAAGGTGTCAGTTTTTGTGCCAGTTAAAAGGGTAAAACCTATTCCTATATCTTGGAACTGGCAAAGGAGGTCTCATAATGTACATGCTCACCCCGAGCCCTCAATACTCTGATAGTGTGCTGTTTTTGAGTTGTACGCCTTTTGGCATCTTCTGGTCCAACACCAATGGAGACTAGGCTCTAAGAAAAGCTGTCTCGGGTGTGGACCAATCAAATTCAAGGACAGTGCATATTATTATCAGAGTTGTCTTTTTTGTTTGCATTTTGACTGCTTGTGTTGTGGTTATTGCAAACATGATGCCTTGAATAAAGGTGTCAGTTTTTGTTCCAGTTAAAAGGGTAAAACCTATTCCTATATCTTGTTACTGGCAAAGGAGGTCTCATAATGGCTAGAATATGTTAACTACCTCGCCTGGTATACAGGAGGCAGTGGGTTCAGTCCCAACCCGGACACCTGCTGTATATCTTACAGTTACATGCTAGTTTCTCACATTAACATCACTCGCCCCGACCACTTCTTCATGACCCTTGAGCTACACCCATTTCAAACCTTTTAAAACAGTCTGCCTCAGCAGCAGGCCATGCTTTCCCACCTGATGACGGACGCTTGTGTTGCGCCCGAAACGTCGTGATTTATTTTATTTTATACCTACGTGACTTTACCGAAAGAACCAAACGGTATGGATTCCTGCAGTCACGAAAGCTTCAAATCAAGATTGTACATTTGGAGTTTGCATGTCTATATTTCTCCCCGTGGTCGCTTTTACGGATCCTCTGGTTTTGCCCTCGACATTTAGAATAATGCGTTGAGAGTATTTGGCGGCTGCTATAAATTTCCACGTGGTGAGGGTCAGCCTCTTCGTTGAGCTGTCATTTGTGATGGCCAGGTCGTTCCTAAAAAAAATAGCTGTACAGCTCAGTGGGCCTTACCTGGTAAAATAAAAATTAAACTTGAATAGTCTATTCTGATATAGTCTTTCAATGCGCCTCAGTCAGGGCCTTGAATAGTCTCGATGTCACTCTTTATCCTTACCTTTTAATCTCAGATGCATGTACGTGTGTTGCAGTTATTTCACACTGTATGTAGCCAACCGTGCTCGTTGGAGGTAGTGTATAGTGTAGAATATAGTGTGTGTGTATATTGCACTTCTTTCATACCGCACATACCCAACCGTACTAATCGGAGGTGCGGGGGGGAAGGACAACAAACTAAACACAGAAAGCAGTTTTAAAGAAATTGGTTTGTGAATCTAGATGATGATTTTAAAAGTGCACAGCTCCAGTGGCTTGCTAATATCGGAAGGAGGAGTGTTCCAGACGGCCGCAGAACCGCATCTGAAAGCGCCCGATGTGGTGGCCGTATTTATTCGATGGCTTGCCAAAAGCTGCTGCTGCTGCTGCTGCGAGGATGACCTGGATTTTGCGTGACGATGGTTTATCGCTCTTGGATGAGATCAGCGAGGTAATTGTGGTTCATTTGTGGTGAGCACTTTGTGTGTGCCAGGTGCCTCACTCCACGAAGCACATTTAATGGGCTCGCTAAAATGAAATCTCCATAGCAGAGGGAAGAGAACATTAACTCTGTTACTCCCATTTTCATACGAGATTGTATTTAATAAAAAAAACATTTGTATCTTCCGAAGGGAAAATTGACCTTCTGTACTCAGCCGGACCGATGGCGTTCAAGTCCTGTGCTGTTTTTAAATTGCGAACATTTTCCCCGCAGCGTTCAGTTGGTGGTGCTCACAATATTTTTTTAAATTAAATTTGAATAAAAAAATAATAGCAGCCTGGTTGGGCACTTGGGACAACATTGTCCCGGATGTGTTTTTAAGTCTTTATTTTAACAGTACTATATAATGTTGTTTGTCTCTTAACTGTAATTCTTTAATATGTTATTGCTCGTTTGAATGTTAGGTTAGTAATCACACGTCGTCTGTGCTGCTCTCCAGTTTCCTGGGTTAAAAAAGTGGGCTAGGTTTTGCCCAATTCTTGCCAAGTTGGCTTAACTTAATTAACACGGTTAGCTACGTACAGTGCGAAAGAAGTTCAACATAAGTACATACATACACAGAGACCCACAGACACCCAAGACCTATAGAGACCCACAGAGAAACCACAGATTAGCACGGTTGGATATGTACGTTGCAAAAGAAGTTAATTAGACATACATACAATTAACTAACTCACTCTCACAGCCCCATCCTGATCATCCAAGGCACAATACAAACCGACTTACATGTGTGTTGGTCATGCCCGGACATCGCAAATTAGTAACCAGAAGATATCGGCCTTCTTCAGCGACACGAAGCGGCACCAACCTCTCTCCGTCAATTGAAACTTCACAGTGGGGATGTAAAAAAAGACGGGGTTCTCTTTCATAAACACCCAGCACATGGCCTGCTCCAAGCTTTCAACATTATAGCCAGAAAAATAAACCATCTTGGCTACCTGGAAAGACCTCGAACTTCCTCCCCCCCCTCCTCCTCTTCACGGGGACAACGGCGTAACACGCTGCCATAGTTCACGCCACCAGCACCCACAACCTTAAAAGGGGGAATTGGAGGTCAGGTGGTCTCCTCCCCGGCCTCCTCCTCCACCCTACAATCACCAACACCACCTCCTCAAATTTCTATTTAAAGCTTTCGTGACTGCAGGGATTCATATTCTTGGTTCTTTCGGTAAAGTCGTCACGTAGAAGGGAAATAATAAAATAAAGATTATTTAATAAAAAATACCACCGCCTCAGTTTAAAATGTGCGAGGAAAGGTGGAGGGAGGCGGGGGGAGGGATAGAAGGATGCCCTCCCCTGTTCCTTTCATCAGTTAAGATAAGATGGGACCCATCTTACCTTCGTCACTGGAAGAAACTTCACCTCCACTTTAAGCAGTCAATTTCGCTTGCTTAGTTTCTGCTCCTCACTCCAAGCTCACTTATTGTTCCCTAGCTCACCCCACGACCCCCCCCCCCCCATTAGCACCATTATCACCGTGAATGTTTCCCTCTTCACATTCTCATTACACGGCTATTGCTCAATAACCCCATTCATTCGATCTGTTCATCATCATCATTTACCATCATCAGTTCCGCTTTCACCGAATTCACGCATCATCACAGATTCACCACCTATTGCTTCCTCTCATTTATTCTGTACACCGCATCTACAAAGACAAAGATTCAGACTGTTGGGGCAAGTGCTGTTAGCGAGCACCTATGAAGGCCGGCACGGCACACGAGGGGGTGGGAGGCCAGCACCACGCCCGGCCGCCTTTGTCTCCCCAGTGGCGATGTTAACACACACCGCACCAGGTACTCATTTGAGGTCGAGTCGATCTTGGGGAGGCCCATGACCGTTACTCGTGTTGGCCCGTGAGCGGGAATCGAACTCAGGTCGCTTGGTTCGTAGCGCAGCTCGCTCTGCCTTTACATTCACACGCGCGCGTTGTAGCGTTATTCTCCGAGCGGTGCATTTGTTGAGGCGCTGTGTGAATTACGTTCAAGCAAGGTGAGATGAGAATAGGGGGAAGAGGTTGTCAGCCCCAACACTCGAAGCTGCCGCGCGTGTATGCTGTATGATCCGTAGAGTGTCCCTTCTCCACCCCACCTTCTCCACACCCTATCTCACCTTAGGATGCTGCTGACTTCCTCCTCCCCCCCCCCCCCTCCCCCGTGGCAGGTTAAGATAAGATGGACCCAGGATAGAGGAGAGATTGCCACACCAACATACCAAGCCGCGTGTATTTTCATGTGATTTTTAGCGTGTCCTTTCTCCGCTGCTGCATACTTCCTCCTCGCCCCTCCTTCACCAACCACCCCGCCCCCCCGGTATATAAAAACACCCACTCACCCTCACCTCCGTCAGAAGACCCCCTTTTGGGGTGTGCATCGAGCATTCCTTCCCCACACCTAGACGCGGTCAAGTGCCAGTAAGTCGCCCCCCCCGCCCACCTCATTCCCCACGGTTTTTCTGTCTCCCCCCTTCCCCTGAAACCATTGACGTGTTGTATCGGGCTCGCGCACTTACTGTGATAAAATCATGAATAAAATAACTCTCTCCCCGTGTCTCTCTCTTCCCCCACCCTCCCCCTGTGTCTCCATCTCTGCCTCTCCCCATGTCCCTCTGACTCCCCACGTGCCTCTCTCTCCCCGTGTCCTGCCTCTCGTTCTCCCCATGTCCCTCTGACTCCCCACGTGCCCCTCTCTCCCCGTATCCTCTCCCTTTTTCTGTTGCCGTTTCCCTCTCTCCCCCCTATGCCCCCCCCCCACCGTACCCTCCCCCATGCCCCCCACCGGTGCAGCGGTGCCGTTCCCCCCTTCACGCTGCCTCTCCGCGCGGGAGCTCTTTGATGAGGCGACCTCGGCCCCACGCCTGGAGGTGCTGCGCTCGCACCTCCTGCGCGAGGGCCGCGTGGAGGAGGAGGCGGCCATCCTCATCCTCAAGCGCGGGGCCGATGTGCTCCGCGCGGAGCCCACGGTGCTCGACATCGCCGCCCCGCTCACTGGTAACCCTCGCCTCTCGCTCACGAGCAACCGCTCACCGTTAACCCCTCACCTCTTGGCCACTAGCAACCACTCACCGTTAACTCCTCGCCTCTCGCTCACGAGCAGCCGCTCACCGTTAACCCCTCACCTCTTGGTCACTAGCAACCACTCACAGTTAACCCCTCGCCTCTCGCACATGAGCAACCGCTCACCGTTAACCCCTCACCTCTTGGCCACTAGCAACCACTCAACGTTAACCCCTCGCCTCTCGCTTACGAGCAACCTCTCACCGATAACCCTGAATACCAACCGCTCGGTTGCCCGGCTACCGCTAGCAGCCGCTCGCTTGCAACTGCTCACCGCTATCAACCGCTCACCGTTACCCTCACCTCTCGCTCGCTCGGTTACCGCTAGCAACCCCTCACCGTAACTCTCATCTCTTGCTTTCTCGTTTACCGCGAGCAACCGGTCACCATTAGCATCCGCTCACCGTTACCCTCACCTCTCGCTCGGTAGGTTAACACTAGCGGCCACTCAACCGCTATGAAGCGCTCACCTGTACCCTCACCGCCACCGCTATCAAGCGCTCACCTGTACACTCACCGCCACCGCTAGCAACCACTTGCTCACTAGCTACCACTCACTGCTAGCAAACGGTGGCGGTGAGGACCGATAGCCGCTCGCTCACCTCCCGCTCGCTCAGTTAACACTAGAAACTGCTTACCACTCAGTTAACGTTAAAAACTGCTTAACGCTAGCAACCGCTCACTGGTACCCTCACCTCCCGCTCGTTCAGTTAACGCTAGCAACTGCTTAATGCTCAGTTAACGCTAGCAACTGCTTAATGCTCAGTTAACGCTAGCAACTGCTTAACGCTCAGTTAACGCTAGCAACTGCTTAATGCTCAGTTAACGCTAGCAACTGCTTACCACTAGCATCCGCTCACCGTTAACCCTCACCGCCATCGCTAGCAGCCGCTCACTGCTAGCAGCCGCACACTGGTACCCTCACCGCTCACCGCTAGAAACTGCTCACCGGTAACCCGCACCTCTCGCTCACTAGCAACCGCTCACTCGCCCGGTTACCGCTAGCAACCGCTCACGGGTAACTTCACTGCCGTTTACTCACCAAGTTACCACTAGCAACCGCTCGACTCGCCAAGTTACATTTATAATCTCTCGACTGGGGGCTACCGCTTGCTTTTTGGCTGTGGTTACGAGTTAGCCGATTACTTAGGCCAGGGGTGGGGAACATTTTTTTTAGCCAAGGGCCATTTGGATCTTTATAAAAAATTAGCCCGTTATATTTGGTCAAACATTTAATTAACTCACTCCTAATGTGATTGCTGGAACTGCTTCTCTTTGGTGAGGCGTGTGACGATGTTAGCTGGTATTGATGATATTGCTACTCGCAACTGCTTTTCCAGGTTTGCTCCTAGATTTATTGAATTTCGAGTCCCGCCTGTGGTTGCCTTGGCAGTGCCACACCAAATGATTTCGCAGGCCACATACGGCCCGCGGGCCAGAAGTTCCCCACCCCTGACTTAGGCGATCGGTCACCTGGGAAATCTGTCCCCTCGTTACCTAGGTAAAGAGCTGGTTACCTAGGTAACCAGGGGTCCATGTGACTCGCTAAAATAAACTAAAAAACTAAACTCTTTTCATTTTACCAGGTAAGGCCCCACTGAGCTGTGTAGCTCTTTTTTCAGAAGCGACCACCTGGCCATCGCAAAAATGATAGCTCCACCAAGTGGCTGATGCCATAGTTGCATAGAAATTTAAAGGAGCGGCCAAATACTCCTAAATGCTGCGATGTCGATTCTAAATGTGAAGGTTAAAAACCGGAGGGCCCGGGGAAAAATCCACACGACCACGGGGAGAGAGAGAGAGAGACGCAGACTCCAAATATAGACTAGCAGACATCGAACCCACCTCCTTATACCAGGCGAAGTAGTTAACATCTCCTAGCCACCGTGGTTCCCACCAGTTGACTCTCTCCTCCTCCCCCCCCCTCCTTTCCCAGTGTGTGGAGATGTCCATGGGCAGTTCTATGACCTAATGAAGTTGTTTGAGGTGGGAGGCTCCCCGGCTCAGACGCGGTACCTGTTCCTGGGAGACTACGTGGACCGTGGATACTTTAGCATCGAGGTGAGTGACCCCTCACCACTTACACACCCACTCACCCACCCACTCACACTCACCAACTCACTGATCCACCCACCCACTCACCCACTTACCCACTCACTCACCCACTCACTCACTCAACTACTCACTGACCCGCTCACCCAGCCACCCACACACTCACCCACCGATCCACCCATCCACTCACTGAATTACTCACTCACTGACCCACCCACTTACTCATCACCCACACACTCACCCATTCACACTCAATCTACTCACTCGCCCACGACGAGATGGCGAATCATTAACGTTCAAGCGACAGTGTCGGGGGAAAGCGTTGGGCACGAGTGCCGAGGTGCGGGAAGAGTCATCGAGACAGGGGATTTACGTTGAGGTGAAATTGAGGGATGAACAGTGTACTGTACAAACAAACAAAGATCCCCCATCTTTTACAGACTGTTGAGGCAAGTGCTGTTAGCGAGCACCTATGGAGACCGGCACGGCACATGAGGGGGTGGGTGGCCAGCACCACGGGGAGGCCCAGAACCGGTTTAGATGATCGTCGCCGGTGTTGGCCGTGAGCAGGAATCGAACTCGGGGCGGACGGGTACCGTACACACTCTCACACACGTGACAGATAGCGACTCGGCATGCCTTAGTACAGCAACATGGGCAAATATCTTGCAGAATGAGTTTTACCAAGAGGGAGGGGTCGATCATTTTGGACCCAGGAACGCAACTCCAGTCTCCCCAATGGTCCACTTATTTGTCGGACGCTGTTTTGCCGAACATGGAAAGGTCTGCCTGTATATTTCTGTGTATATCTCTGCGTGCTGTACCTGTGTATCTCCGTGTGAATCTCTCTGTCTCAGTGCATATCTGTGTATTTCTCTGTATGTCTCCGTGTATATATTTCGTGTGTATATCTTTCTGTATATCTCACGTGTGTATCTCTGTGTATATCGCTGTGTGTGTATCTCTGGGGAGCGCAGTGCGTGCTGTATCTCTGGGCGCTGAAGATTCTCTACCCTGGAAGCCTCTTTCTGCTCCGCGGGAACCACGAGTGTCGCCACCTCACAGAGTACTTCACCTTCAAGCAAGAGTGTGAGGAGACACGTGGGGGAGAGACACGTGGGGGAGACACGGGGGGGAGGCACGGGGGGGGAGGCACGGGGGGTATGTGCGTGGGGGGGAGACACGGGGAGGAGATACGGGGAGAGAGACACGGGGGGGTAGACACGGGGGGGGGAGATGCGTGGGGGGGAGACACGGGGGGGGGGGAAACCTGGGAGAGTCTCTGCTTGTGTGCGATGCCTGCACGTGTCTCTGTGTGCGCGATGCCTGCACGTGGCGCTCCACAGGCCGTATCAAGTATTCTGACCGCGTGTACGATGCCTGCATGGAGGCGTTTGACTGCCTCCCGCTGGCGGCGGTGATGAATCAGCAGTTCCTCTGCGTCCACGGGGGGCTCTCCCCGGAGCTCCACACCCTCGACCAGATCCGCAGGGTGAGTTCAGCTCTCGCCGGGGCCATTGGCCCGCTTACGAGGTCACTCACGAGCCCGCTCACGAGGTCGCTCACGAGGTCACTGCTGTGGGTTCCTGAAACCGACGTGAACGCATGTTCCTGTCTAAGAGCCCTATCCCTCCCTCTGCTCCCTTTTTTACGATCAGAAGAAACACAAAGGTGCTCAGTTATTTGGCCCCTTTTCTTTCGTCTCTCGTGTCATTTTTTTTTGCTTTTTACTTTTTTTGTAGTTTTTACGGACCTTTTTTTCACGTGAAAAAATCTTAACATATTTACACTTTTTTCCCATGTAGCATGATTTCCATCGCGTACTGTGTTCAGATTGAAAACAAAAAAAAAGCACCCTCAAAAAACTCACTGCTCGATCCCCTCCCATCAGTCACATTACACAGGGCACCCTCTTACAGCTCAACATCTAAAAAAAGATTGAACACCACCCCCCCCCCCCCCCCCCCGTCAACTGAGCAACTGAGCATGGCGAAATTGCAGACAAATTCTGGCAGAAACCAGCACCTTGAAGATGCGCCAAGCCGTTTTATTCGATATGCGCACTTTCCGGCCCTGTATATCACCAGTTTGGCATTGTTTGTTAAAAAGTTCACCAAGCCCTCTACTATATCTTTGCCTGCATTCCCCCTTTATATCCAAAAATAAGAATCGTTGGGGAGAAATTTAAGTTTAACATTTCAGCAAGATATTGCGTAGGTGCTTTAAAAAGCGAGTTGAGGCTTTTACAATGTCAACACTGATGGGCAGCCGTTTCAGGTTTCACCACTCAGTAAACATTCTGGCTTGGTGTCCTGTGTAGTGTGCCAGAAAACTCTTTGTGGTCACCGTACCGTGGGCAATGCTCCAGCTCGGGTCACCCTGGCGTTGAGAATGATGGGGTAGGGTCGAACAGCTCCCAGTGAGGGTTACACGATCGCTGCAGGGCATCGAGTCTCTCCAAGCCTGGTCTTTTGCGCGACCTTCGTACTTGTCGATGATGAAAGCAAACCACACGAGCGTACAGTTTATTACATTCGACATTTGAGAAGTGCTCTTCCCGGTCGCTCTGCTAAAAAAAGGAAGTGGGTACTTTTCTTGCCGACTGGACAGTCAGCTCCGGTAACATTGGACGACCAGGAGCTGACACGTCACCAACACTCATGGCAGGCGTGCCCCCCACTGCTTTTGAGCGAGACTTCCGCAATTTTTGCGGCGATTCTTATTGAATGCAGTCCCATCATTGCAGCCATCTGGGTAGAGAGAAGCCACTGACCGTGCTTGCCCGGTTTCACCAGATCGCCTACCCTAGTGAGATGCGCATCGAATGTAACGCTTCTCAATGGCTAAGCCCACAAGAGAGGGTTAGTCCCGTGTCGGGATTCCGCAAAAGCTGTTCGAGAGTGAGGTCTGATGCAGACCGGGGTTTATTCACTCGGGTATTGACGGGGAAACCCCAGGCCTGTAGGACACTCGTGTAAAAATTGGGAATCTGCGTTAGCGGGGTTACCCATGATGTTAATTTATAATTGCTGCACTGCACCCCCCTCCAGGTTACTGAGAAAAGAAGATGGTGTGGAATACCGCATGAGCGATGGGGTGGTGTACAGAAAGTTTTGCACGGCTTGCAAGCGAAGGGTGGACAGTTGACTCCGTACGCACACGAGACCTTGCCCGCCTCCCTGCGGTGACAAAGCCTAAGACTCCGGCAGCGGCCACACGGTGCTTCCTATGTGACCAACAGAAATGAGGTGACGTCCTCTGAAGTTTGCCGATCAAATGAGCCGGCGGAACGAGGGGAAAAAAAGCAGGGCCACATTGCAGACGCAGCCAGCTGGTTCATGGACCAGGGTTTTCCCTCCAAACGTGAGGGTTTTTATAAAGGCGCCCCCAAGGTTCCGGTTGTTCACTCACCCTTACAAAGTATCCCGGTTACTCTGTAGCAGTTTATCTCCAGAGGCCCCAGGAGCACGCCAATATTTTGAAGGCATCACCTTTCCTCCCCGTGATTGCTTTGGCCATCTCACGGAACTGGGCTTCGTCCCACTGCGCCACGAGTGGGCCCACTGCATTTCTGTTAATTCATCCTGGAGGACGCACAAGAATATACCTCTTGGCACCTGTGGATCCGTTCAGTGTTGTCAAAGCCTTGTAAGAGGGAGGAGAATGTCGTCAGCATCTGCTGTGAGAGTCACTTTCATATTGGGCTCCTTCACGGTTAAGCAAGTTGAGCCTTCATCGAAGTTGACACAGAATAGGTTCCACGACGAGGGTGTAGAGCTGCCCTGACATAGGACAGACAGCCTTGTCTGATAGCTTGACTGAGTTCTATAGGAGCAGTTGGTGCCCTGTTAACTTTGATGACACACTGGGACGTGTTATGAATCAAATCGATTATTTGTATTAAGTTAGCTCCAAATCCAAAAGCTTTGAAGAGTGCCGAGTAGATTCCCCATGGTCAACCCTGTCAAAATATTTATCTTGATCAAGGGAGAGTAAAGCCAGCGGAAAGTCCCAATGTTCAGACCGAGTGATTTGATCTCTGACTAGGAAAATCCCATCATCAGTGGTCCTCCCTGGAACAGTGCATGACTGGTAATTGCCTATAACCTGAGCCAAAAGCCCGTTTAAGCCTTGTGGACACATCCTTAGCTAGAATCATATAATCTGTGCACAACACTTGAGACCTGGACACCAGTTTTTCAGGTATCTTAAGATCACCTTTTTTTGGGAGCAGTCTAAACACTGCTATCCTCCAGGACTTAGGCATCATGTTACTCTCCACTGCTTCTTCTAGAACATCGTTGTAGTATTTCTGCACAGAGTGCCAAAAATGCTGATAAATCTCTCCTGTTAGTCCATCAATCCCTGGCGATTTGTTCCTGGCCAGAGCGGCTCACGGCCATTTCTTTGGTCACTCTTTTCTACCTATGTCAAGAAGCCATCCCTCTTCTTCGCCCAACAGAGACAAATCCTTCCAGATGTCCTTTAGGGCATGTGTAGATATGCACTCTGGGAAAAAGAGATTATTATAGTGTTGAGCAACTTTTGGGGCTATTTGATTATTGTTTGAGGACACGGAGGACCCCATTGTAATCAACGCCGGGTGGCTAAAACACAGTGAGTTGGCATAGTAGGGGGCACAAGTGGTGCATCGGTCAGTCATCTCAGTCAGTCAACCCATGGAACCTGCTGGGTCTACCCTGTGACCTCCTGCCAGCGGGCGTTCGACACCTCACGTGGCCTTGAACTGCACTTAGCCTGGCACAAGCACCGTGGTGACCTCACCGCCACCTAGTGGCGAATAGGGAAACCATTTGGCTTCCCTAATGAGAAGAAAAGTGTTGAGCCAGAGTCCTTGTCAAGGGTGTATTTAAACCGTGAGCGTATCAATGCCCCTTTTGCCTTCTCTTTCTCGAATTCTTTTAGACATTAATTGTTCACCATGTGGTAGGCCTGGATTGTCCCCCATCCTCTGCCTTTGCATTATGCTGCGGACCGTGCTCTCAACATAAACAAATATCATGGTCGTATCGTTGCATACTTCCCCAGGCATTTGAGTCGCGCAGTTCTCAAAGAGATTAGTGAAGATGGCGTCTTCCAAAAGGGCATCATGAAAATGCCAGTTTGCCGATCCCCATGGGAGTCTTTGTATCTTAACATGAAGTATAATGAGTTGATGTTCTGCCAGCGGTGCAGCCCTGATACAGGATGCAACAGCACTATTTCCAAATGTATTTTGAAGCGTAAAATCGGTCGATCCTTGATTGCGACACTGTCCTGTCAACTCGGCCTCTCGTGACGGTAAAACCCTTGCTGCCGAGGATGTTGTATCTGCCACACATCAGTCAGAGCGTATACGCAAAGCAGATCCTGCAAGGCATTCAAGATATCGCCGTTGCATTGTTCAGCTCCAGTGCGATCGAGAACATACATTGTGTAATTGCAATCACCTCCCAAAGTGAAGCACCCGTCATTTGTAATGTTCACGCGATGCCTCTGCAGTGCGCAGAAAGAAAAAAAAAGTTTGTCTGCATCATTGATTGGTGCGTAGACATTATTAATGAGGTTCCTTGTTTATACTCTTTGTTTTTTTTCAGCAAAGTCACGTAGGTTGAAAAGAAAATCAATGAAATAAATGAAAACAACTAAATGAAATCACGACGTTTCGGGCGCAACACAAGCGTCCGTCATCAGGTGGGGACAACCACAGCGAAGACCGTTGCCGAGATATCTCAGACAGTTGCTGATGACGGACGCTTGTGTTGCGCCCGAAACGTCGTGATTTAATTTAGTCGTTTTCATTTATTTTATTGATTTTTTTTTTTACCTACGTGACTTTGCTGAAAAAAAACAAAGAGTATGATTGCTTGCAGTCACGAAAGCTTCAAATCTAGGTCCTTGTTTCTTATTTTGACATTGAGGGCACTTCCTGGTACCACTTCAGCTTGGTCAACCACATTGGGTGACTAAACCCTGGCGCAAACAATGTTGCAACCCCAGAGGGGGTGTGAGAATGTTGACTCAAGAACAAATCCCCACCTTTGCCACGATTATCATCCTCGTCTGCCCCCTCGGCGTGGGGTTGCACTATCCGCCGTCCAAATCTGGGAGGTCTTTAAATGGATCATCCTCATCCCCGCTAGATCCCGAGGTTAAGGAAGGACGAGTTATCTACGGATGTCCTCGCCGGAGGTCCAGCTTTTTTTTAAAGGTGGCCGGCGGTGGCTTACTGAAGCGCCGTCTCCCTGGCAGCACACTGAGATGGAATGGGGCCTACTGCTGCCAACTCACGTGGGGCTCTGTGGTTAGGGGCTCTGACTTGAGCCACCCATTGGGTTTTCCACTTTGTCACTCCCCTCCCCTCGCCCCCACTGCTCCGTCTCTGCCTCGGCTCTTGCGCTCGACGAGTATCTTTATGTATTGGTATCCATTGTTTTAAATGTCGTAACGTACGTTTTGCGGGTCAAAAGGGGGGGCTCCATTCGACGCTATCGGAAGAAATTTAGCCTTATTCTTTGGGTCTTTCGGTAATGTCACGTAGGTAATCTACGTCACGTAGATTATCTAGATATCTACGTGACTTTTGCCGAAAGACCCAAAGAACATTAATTCCTGCAGTCACGAAAGCTTTAAGTCATGATTTAAATTGAGCCTTTAAGGTGTATTTCCTATACTCACTTGAAGACCAAATCTCTTCACGACCGGTTTTGTGGAACCAATTACCAATCTGGAACCAATTAAGAGGGGTTCTGCTGTGCTTGCAATAACAGACAGGCCTAATGTGCACGCACGCAAACCTATAAAGAAGGGGTCCGAAGAGGACACTGTCGTGTGTTTATGTTGAACTTCTTTCGCACCGCTCGTAGCCAACCATGCTAATCGGAGGGAGTGTATCGTGTAATATACAGGGTGCTTAAAAAAATAATGTTAACACTTCGGAGAATTTGCAGCAATACCACAATAAATGTGCCTCCGGGCAAGTGTTGACAATGATGACGAGACACGCGGTGCCCGAGACACGTGGTGTCCGAGACACGTGGTGCCCGAGACACGTGGTGTCCGAGACACGCGGTGCCCGAGACACGTGGTGTCCGAGACACGTGGTGCCCGAGACACGTGGTGCCCGAGACACGCGGTGTCCGAGACACGCGGTATCCGAGACACGTGGTGCCCGAGACACGCGGTGTCCGAGACACGCGGTGCCCGAGACACGCGGTGTCCGAGACACGCGGTGTCCGAGACACGTGGTGCCCGAGACACGCGGTGCCCGAGACACGTGGTGCCCGAGACACGCGGTGCCCGAGACACTCGGTGACCGAGACACGTGGTGTCCGAGACACGTGGTGCCCGAGACACGTGGTGTCCGAGACACGCGGTGCCCGAGACACGTGGTGTCCGAGACACGTGGTGCCCGAGACACGTGGTGTCCGAGACACGCGGTGTCCGAGACACGCGGTGCCCGAGACACGTGGTGTCCGAGACACGCGGTGCCCGAGACACGCGGTGTCCGAGACACGCGGTGTCCGAGACACGTGGTGCCCGAGACACGCGGTGTCCGAGACACGCGGTGCCCGAGACACGCGGTGTCCGAGACACGTGGTGCCCGAGACACGCGGTGCCCGAGACACGTGGTGCCCGAGACACGCGGTGACCGAGACACGTGGTGCCCGAGACAGGTGGTGCACCGAGACACGCGGTGCCTGAGACACGTGGTGCCCGAGACACGCGGTGCCCGAGACACGCGGTGCCCGAGACACGCGGTGCCCGAGACACGCGGTGTCCAAGACACGCGGTGCCCGAGACACGCGGTGACCGAGACACGTGGTGCCCGAGACACGCGGTGCCCGAGACACGTGGTGTCCGAGACACGTGATGCCCGAGGCATGCGGTACCTGCTTCTTGGGCGAGGCGATTCCAGGGTTTCGTGACCGCGGCGTTTTTGACCTTCGCAAATCTACACATAAACAATAAGGCGTCCATACAAAATGTAAATTGCTTTAAAGTCGCGAATTAATTGATGAATTGATGTTGATTTTGATACTGGCATGCATTGTCACCGGATGTGAGTACGTGTGCAAAATTTGGAATTGATTGGACAACGGGAAGTGGACTAACTTTTGATTGCAAGATTTGACCACGACAAACATGGGAGTCAAGTGAAGTAAACCCGTTGAAAAACTTTCACCTCTAAGGTTAACTGAGGATTCGTAGAACGCGGGACGCGGTTGCTGATGGGAGCAGAAGAGAACGTAGGACGGAACGGCAAAACGACGTGTCCGTAAAACAGAACAAGACGAATTATCAAAAGGTGTATAAAATAAAATAACATTGCAACTCACCGTAGAAGGATGATATTATCACAAATAGAGGCAAAGAAAGAAGGAAAACAAAAGAAAGTTTAAAGGGGTGATTATCCTAGGTCAGTGGTGCTTCTTAACCTGGAGTGCGTGCACCCCATGGGGATGTGAGCTGCCCTTTCTGGGGAGACTAGACATGGCTGGATCATTTGTATTTTTTAGATGGTAAATCATTCGAAAACACGAATCCAGCACAGGGCACGTAAGTGCAACTGCTTTGTTTCATGAACCCCTATGCATTTACAGTGGTACCTCGGTATACGTCGTTAATTCGTTCCAGAAGGGGTAGGACTTGTACCGAAAATGTCGAACACCAAACGAATTTTTCTCATAAGAAATAAAAGGAAAGGAAATAATCCGTTCCAGAGTATAAGAAATGATGTTATATGCCATATTATACATTAATGGGGTTGCATAACATAATGTAGACACTGCTTATTACTAAAATGCATACATAAATTAATAAATACATAAATAAATTGAAATGAAAATACAATTTAACATCACTTGCTGAGAGGAGTTTGATAGCCTACGAGGATGGTGGTGAGGAAGGGGAGGCTTTTCTCACGAACCTTCATAGGACCCATCTTGAGTGAATTCGCCAAAAAAATCACGTTAAAATGACAAAAAAAACACGTGAAAATTCACGGAGAGTTGCAGCAAGGGGGTTGTGCACCGAACGAGATCTATTGTACAGGCAGACTGACTCATCCCGACCCATACAAGTTCTAGGAAGCGCGTCGTATCTCAAGCAAGACGGCGTATCCCAAGACATTTTTTTTCTCGTCAAAACGCGACGTGTACCAAATTCGATGTATTCCAAAGCGGTCGTATACCGAGGTACGACTGTGTTAACATTATACTTTTTTTTTTACGATTTAGAACCGAAGAGGGAGCAAGGCTGCAGTGAAAGTTAAGAGCTAAGGTTTAGAGTTAAGAGTTAAGGTTTAGGAGCTGTGTGTTAAACCCCACTTCTCCCTCCCTCCCTCCCTCCCTCCCTCCCTCCCTCCCTCCCTCCCTCCCTCCCTCCCTCCCTCCCTCCCTCCCTCCCTCCCTCCCTCCCTCCCTCCCTCCCTCCCTCCCTCCCTCCCTCCCTCCCTCCCTCCCTCCCTCCCTCCCTCCCCACCCTCTCCCTCCCTCCCCTCCCTCCCCCGCTTTCAGCTGGACAGGTTCCGAGAGCCTCCGGCCTACGGCCCGGTCTGCGACCTCCTGTGGTCGGATCCCCTCGAGGACTTTGGGAGCGAGAAGACCCAGGAGCATTTCACCTACAACAGCGTGCGTGGGTGCTCCTACTTCTACAGGTGGGAGGGGGTGATGGGAGGGAGGGCGGGGGTTCGGGGGGGAGGGCATAAGCACATAGACTGACCCACTCACCCACCTTCCAGTTACCACTGTCGGCTACGTACGATGCGAAAGAAGTTCAGCACTTGTACGCACATAGACTCGCATAGTCACTCACCCATCCTCCACTTAGCACGGTTGGCTACGTACGGAGCGAAATAAGTTCTACATGCAGACATAGACTCACATAGTTACTCACCCACTCACTCACCCATCCTCCGATTAGCACGGTTGGCTACGTACGGAGCGAAATAAGTTCTACATGCAGACATAGACTCACATAGTTACTCACCCACTCACTCACCCATCCTCCGATTAGCACGGTTGGCTACGTACGGAGCGAAATAAGTTCTACATGCAGACATAGACTCGCATAGTTACTCACCCACTCACTCACCCATCCTCCGATTAGCACGGTTGGCAACGTACGGAGCGAAATAAGTTCTACATGCAGACATAGACTCACATAGTTACTCGCCCACTCACTCACCCATCCTCCGATTAGCACGGTTGGCTATGTTCGGTGCGGAAGAAATCACTGATGATGATGATAACGATGAAGGATGTTGAACCAGAGTAAGAGTTCATAATGCCAGAGACGGCGAGTGAGGCAGTAGTGGTCGTGGTGGAAATAGCGGAGAGAGTGCAGGAAGATGGAGCAGTGCATTAGCAGCCGGGATATACAGAGGACCGGGCCGACAGACGTGGAGGCCTGAGGGAACGCAACATGTACAGGGACGCAAAGACATCGAAAGAGAGACGACTGGTATGGATAGAAGAAACATGATGTGGTCTAGGCCAATCAGTTTCAAAGAAATGCGTATATTAGCAGAGCACGTTTGTTTGCATGTTCACCACAAGTACTTTGGGTGGTTAATGCAATGCTTGATTCCTTGCACAAGGGAATCTATTTGGCGTTTGAATAGCTTAACACCTGTTTGATTTTCTTTGGTTCTTTCGGTAAAGTCACGTAGAATGAGAATAAAATAATAAAATTAAACCTGTTTTATTGCCAGAAAGGGTAAAACGCTTATGTTACTTTTCATACTTTAATCTTGGAAAAAAAATCTCGCACGAGTTGAAGATGGTTCACAATCAACCACCAAATGTGAGGTGAATGTCAGGTGAGCTCAGGATTGCTGAGACAAACCGGGCCCCATGCACAGACACCACAGGAGCACCACGGAGACACGCCCACTTCCCAGCATGCACAGCAAGGGGGAGAGAGTGGGACAGAGAAAGACTTGCGGAATATACGTATCTGTATGCGAGTGTGCGTTTACGTGTGTATGTATGTGGGGAGCGATAGTGTAGTAGTTAGTTACAAACATGATGACCCGAGCTCGATTCTCGCTCAAGGCCAACACCAGGGACGATTTTCTGAACCTGTCCTGGGCCTCCTTCTCGAGGGCGATTCAGCCTCAATTGGTGTGATGTGTAAAAACATCGCCACGGGGGAGACAAAGGCGGCCGAGCACGGTGCTGGCCACGCACCACCTCATGTGCCGTTCCGGTATTTATAGGTGCTTGATAACAACACTCAACATTCTGTTAAGGCTACACGGGGGATCTTTGTCTTTGTGTGTGTGTCATGCAGCTACCCGGCCGTGTGCGAGTTCCTGCAGAACAACGGACTCCTGTGCGTGATCCGTGCCCATGAAGCACAAGATGCAGGGTACCCACGCACCCACCCATGCACCCACCCTATACACCCACCTACCCACGCACCCACCCATGCACCCACCCACGCACCCACCCACCCATCCACTCACCCACCCACTCACTCACCTACTCATCCACCCACTCACCCACCCACTTACCGACCCACTCACCCACCCACTCGCCTAACCACTCACTCACCAAATCACCTGCCCACTCACCTATCCACTCACCTTCTCACTCACTCACCCACTCACCTACCCACTCACCTACCCACACACTCATCCACCCATTCGCTCACTCGTCCACCCACTTACCTATGCACTCACCTACCCACTCACTAAACCACTAATTCGCCCACTCACCCACCCATTCATCTTCCCACTCACTCACCCATCCACTTACTCAACCACTGATTCGCCCACTCAGCCACCCACTCGCTCGCACAAATGGCACCCTTCCTCACCAGTTTGCTTGAGAGGTCATCTCTATTCTTTGGGTTCAATCTTGATTTGAAGCTTTCGTGACTGAGGGAATCCATACTCTTTGGTTCTTTCGGTAAAGTCACGTAGGTATAAAATAAAATAAATCACGACGTTTCGGGCGCAACACAAGCATCCGTCATCAGGTGGGAAAGCATGGCCTGCTGCTGAAGCAGACTGTTTTAAAGGTTTGAAATGGGTGTAGCCCAAGGGTTATAAAGGAGTGGCTGGGTTTAGTGATGTTAATGTGAGAAATTAGCATGTATCTGTGTACAGAAGTGGCTATGTTAATGTAAGCGATTAGCATGATGTTAAAGTGAGAAATTTAAACAGTCTGCATCAGCAGCAGGCCACGCTTTCCCACCTGATGACGGATGCTTGTGTTGCGCCCAAAACGTCGTAATTTTTTATTTATTTTATACCTACGTGACTTTACCGAAAGACCCAAAGAGTACTCTTTGGTTCTTTCGGTAAAGTCACGTAGATAGGTTCAAAAGAAAATATTTTCATTGAACCTATCTACGTGACTCTACCGAAGGACCCAGAGAATCTGAATTCCTGCAGTCACGAAAGCTTTCGGTCAGGTCATCTCTACCCCGCGCTTTTTCTGGTCTCGTGCTCCAGATCGCCCTTCGCACTTCCTCAACAGATGGCCAACCACCCACAGGGAGCAGCTACTTCCTCCAATATTGGAGGCATGGCAGCACAAGCAGAGTCAGCCCCACATTGCCCCATGATTTGTATGAGCCAAGGGGTTTCTGCTCCCCCCCCCCCCAAATACCTCTCAGGAATGCTCAGCAAACCTGTGAACCTGCTCTTGGTGGTCAGAGATTGGATCACCGTTTCTTTCCGTTGAAAAAATGGTGATAGATGTGGTGCTTGCAAGTTACTTTTTTATGGATTCACAGAGTCTATTGCTGATTGCATGCTCCCAAGGAAAGTTTGCCAATTTTTCAGCAACCCGCGACTTCCGCTCACCGTTGGATCTCCACAGCTTTCCGAACCTCGGAGCGAAGGCTGCGGTCAGCCTCCTCATTCTTGGACGTGGCATATTGCAGACGGTGGGAGTGGGCACTGTCAATTTCTTCTCAGCCAGCCAGAACATCTTCTCTGTCAGCCATGGTCTCTGGGGAGGTCTAGACCGCATACCCATTGCAGCCATAGCAGCTGCATGAGTTGCTGTCCTGAAACCCCACCTATTTCCCCCTCGGCATCCCGAGGAGGGATGGACGATGCCAACCCCAGTCGCAAGCGATGATCCATTTTCCCGCTTGCGATCTTCATCAGCTCAGAATCAGAATCTATCTTTATCCTAGAGAAATCCGATGAGCTATGAAGCTCTTTTTTCCGCACATGTCTACTAGCTGAGACGGGGCCATTGTGGGTTTCAGTGTAGATAAGTGATGATGCCGGAACAGAATATTGGTGATTACAAGTCCATGAGCTGCACATGAGTCTAGTTGCCTCCTAACGTTGTTATTGAGCTGATCTGGCCCATGCCTTCCAATCATTCCGGCCCAGGTGTCTACATCATGACCCACTCGGGCATTAAAGTCACCCAACAGGATGACTCTCCCGAGGAGCTACTCTAGCCAGCACCTGGGACGGGAGGTTGAAGAAGGCATCTGACTCATCGACTTTACCTGCATCCTCCCACTTCGGTGGAAGCATGAGCAAGCACCGTCATTCCTCACCTCCCATTGATGGGGAAGCGAGCTCACAATAGCCTGGGACTCGCAGCTTCCCACGCCTCGTCTCCACGCTCCCACGCCTCCCCCCCCTTCATTATTTTTCTTAGAAGAAGTGCCGCTCCCCGTTGTTTGGCAGTGTCCTACCCCTCGAGTGGAGAGCTGTCCGCGCCTCATGGCGACCGGAGCACGAACCACAAACCTCCAGTATACACCAGAGGCCCAAACGGCACTGGTCAAGCTCCTGACAGAGGAATGGCAGCCTTTCTTCCGCAGTGAGTCTTCGAACATTCCACATTGGGTAACTTCAGGATTTCTGTTTCTGGAAGAACCCTGAGGGGAGGGGTAGAGTCTGGCTCTGCCAAATGTTTTTTTTTTTTTGCCAAAAGGCATCCCCAGACACCTGTCCTCCCCATGGCCCTCCAGCACGAGCTTTGTTTGGTGTTTCCAGCATGGTTAATTAGTACAAATGAGTGCCAGGTGGAGGGATTAACAGCCCCTCGCATTAACACCGATTTTGCTACGAAAATAAAGATCCCCCAGTAGCTTTAACAGACTGTTGGGGCAAGTGCTGCTAGCGAGTAACAGCACCTATGAAGGCCAGCACGGCACAAAAGCAGGGTTAATGGTCAGCATCACGCCGCCTTTGTCTCCCAAGTAGCGATGTTTACACATGGCACTAGGTACTCATTTGAGGCTGAGGCAATCTAGGGGAGGCCGAAGATGGATTCAGATAATCATCACTGGTTTGGCCGTGAATGGGAATTGAACTCAGGTCGACGTGTTTGTAGTGCAATGCACTAACTACTCGGCTATGTACAAACATGCATTTTAACACCTAGAAAAAGGCAAATACTCACCCACCCACCTACTCACCAACTTACACACTCATATTCTCATTCACCCACCCACTCACCCACCCACTCACCCACCCACTCATTCACTCACTCACTCACCTCATTCATTCACTCACCTCATTCACTAAGTCACCTACTCACTCACCCACTTATCCAACAACAATAACAACCGCCGTTTACCACTGAGTGGTGGTGACATCACAATCGCGCTTGTGCCAGGTTAGGTGCACTTTGAGGCCACATGAAGTGCAGGAGGAGGTCACGGGACAGACCCAGGTGCCATGGGTTGACGGACTAATCTGTCACTCCACATAAAGCTTGGGGTCTTCTCGGCCACAGTCATCCTCTCCCTTCTCTATGCTTGTAAAACGTGGGCCCCTCTAATGTAACATCTGCACTGGTTATAACAATTCAGACTGGCCTGCCTATGGTCCATCCTGGGTTTAACCAGGCTGTTTTGTGTGAGGAGCTCACAAATCCTGAAACATCTGGACACATTTCCTTCAGTGAGATGCTCCGGAATGCAAGGCTGCGTTGGCTGGGTCATGTAGCCTGAATGCCCAGCCACCGCATGCCCAAGCAGTTTCTGTTTGGCCACATAGAGGGTGCTAAATAGGAACGACATGGGCTGGAGAAGAGATGGACTGATGTGGTTTGGAAGGATGTGGAGCTGAGTGGACTTGCTGAAGACTGGTACCACCTGAAGGCGGAAGCTCGCGTTGCCTCCGAAACGTCGTGATTTTATTTAGTTGTTTTCATTGATTTTATTTTACCTTACGTGACTTTACCGAAAAAAATCTAAGAGTATGAATCCTTGCGGTCACGAAAGCTTCAAATCTATACTATACTTTGTACTCCTCCTATCGCGTTTGTGTAGCATCGTTTTTGTTGTAACATTCTGACCACCGTGTGCCCCCATTTTGGACATCTTCGAAAAATCGCTTCATAGCTCCATTGGATTTCTCCAGGATATATTAATATTCGGATTCTGATGTACCGTGAGAGGAGTCTCTTTATCTCTCACAGGTTCTGAATGTACCGTAAGAGTTCCCTTATAGGTACCAAATGTACCGTAAGAGTCTCTCACAGGTACCGGATGTACCCTGAGAGTTTCGTACGGGCACTGAATGTACCCTAAGGGTCTCTCTGTCTCTCACAGATACCGGATGTACCGTAAGAGTCAGACAACCGGATTTCCGTCTCTCATTACCATCTTCTCCGCTCCCAACTACCTCGATGTCTACAACAACAAGGGTAGCGCTACACTCACTGCACCATAGCTACACTCACACTACACTGGACCATAGCTACACTCACACTACACTGGACCATAGCTACACCCACACACATACTGCACCATAGCTACCCTCACACACACTACACAATAGCTACACTCACTGCACCATAGCTACACTCACACTACACTGGACCATAGCTACACCCACACACACACTGCACCATAGCTACCCTCACACACACTACACAATAGCTACACTCACTGCACCATAGCTACACTCACACACACTACACAATAGCTACACTCACTGCACCATAGCTACTCTCACACACACTACACAATAGCTACACACACACTACACAACAGCTACACTCACACACACTGCACCATAGCTACACTCACACTACACTGGACCATAGCTACACTCACACACACTGCACGATAGCTACACGCACACACACTGCACCATAGCTACACTCACACACACACACTGCACCATAGCTACTCTCACACTCACTGCATCATAGCTACACACACACTACACAATAGCTACACAAACACCACTCACTGCACCATAGCTACACTCACACTGCACCATAAATACACACACTCCACCATAGCTACACACACTGCACCATAAATACACACACTCCACCATAGCTACACACACTGCACCATAGCTACACACACACTCACTGCACCATAGCGACACTCACATACTACACCATAGCTACACACACACTCACTGCACCATAGCTACACATACACTGCACCATAGCTACACACACACTGCACCATAGTTACACACACACTCACTGCACCATAGCTACACTCACACTCACTGCACCATAGATACACTCAGACACTACACTGCACCATAGCTACACACACACTCTGTACCAGAGCTACAAACACACTCACTGCACCATAGCTACACACACACTCTGCACCATAGCTACAAACACACTCACTGCACCATAGCTACACACACACTCACTGCACCATAGCTACACTCACACTCACTGCACCATAGATACACTCAGACACTACACTGCACCATAGCTACACACACACTCTGCACCATAGCTACAAACACACTGCACCATAGCTACACATACACTCACTGCACCATAGCTACATTCACACTCACTGCACCATAGATACACTCAGACACTACACTCCACCATAGCTACACACACACTCTGCACCATAGCTACAAACACACTCACTGCACCATAGCTACACACACACTCTGCACCATAGCTACAAACACACTCACTGCACCATAGCTACACACACACTCACTGCACCATAGCTACACTCACACTCACTGCACCATAGATACACTCAGACACTGCACCATAGCTACACACACACTCTGCACCATAGCTACAAACACACTGCACCATAGCTACACACACACTCACTGCACCATAGCTACACTCACACTCACTGCACCATAGATACACTCATACACTACACTGCACCATAGCTACACACACACACTGCACTATAGCTACAAACACACTCACTGCACCATAGCTACACACGCACTCATTGCACCATAGCTACACTCACACTCACTGCACCATAGATACACTCAGACACTACACAATAGCTACACTCACACACTACACAATAGCTACACTCACACACACTGCACCATAGCTACACCCACATTCACTGCACTATAGCTACAAACACACACACTGCACCATAGCTACACCCACACTCACTGCACTATAGCTACACCCACACTAACTGCACAATAGCTACACTCACACACACTGCACCATAGCTACAAACACACTGCACTATCGCTACACTTGAACACACACTGCACTATAGCTACACTCACACTGCTCCATAGCTACTCACACACTACACCCTAGCTACACTACACTCCACCCTAACTACAACTTAATCACACTCATATACACTACATTTTAACTACACTTATCTACTACACGCTAAATTCACTCATATATACTGCACCCCAACTATGCCCTAACTTCACTCAGAAATACTCCACTCACACATACTGCTACCCACAACAAGGTTACCACTACTTTAAAAACGCTACATCCTAATAACTCTCCTCCCCCTCTTTCTCTCCCTCTCTTTCCCTATCTCCCCATATCTCTCCCTTTCTCTCCCCATATCTTTCTCCCCCTCTGATTCTCCCTCTTTTCCTATCTCTCTCCCTATCTCTTTCTCCCCCTCTCTTTCTCCACCTCTCTTTCTCCCCCTCTGATTCAACTTTCTCTATCTCCCTCTTTCCCTATCTCTCCCTCTCTTTCCTTCTCTCCCCATCTCTCTCCCTTTCGCTCCCTCTCTCCCCATCTCTCTCGCTGACTCTCCCCCTCTCTTTCTCCCCCTCTGATTCTCCCTCTCTCTCCCAGCGGCTATCCTCAAGTATGAGAACAACGTGATGAATATTCGCCAGTTCAATTGCTCGCCGCACCCGTATTGGCTGCCCAACTTCATGGACGTTTTCACGTGGTCCCTGCCATTCGTGGGAGAAAAGGGTGAGAGAGACACACACACGAGGAGAGAGAGTGAGACACGGAGAGAATGAGACATGGGGAGAGAGAAAGACATGGGGAGAGAGTCATGGAAAGAAAGATAAGGGGAGACAGAATGAGACATGGCGAGGGAGAGAGAGAGTGAGGCATGAGGAGAGAGATACGGGGAGAGAATGAGACGTGGGGAGAGAGAATGAGACACGGGGAGAGAGACATGGGGAGAGAGTGAGACACGGAGAGAGTGGGACATGGGGAGAGTGAGACATGGGGAGAGAGTGAGACATGGGGAGAGAGTGAGACATGGGGAGAGAGTGAGACATGGGGAGAGAGTGAGACATGGGGAGAGAGTGAGACATGGGGAGAGAGTCATGGAAAGAAAGATAAGAGGAGACAGAATGAGACATGGCGAGGGAGAGAGTGAGGCATGAGGAGAGAGATATGGGGAGAGAATGAGACGTGGGGAGAGAGAATGAGACACGGGGAGAGAGACATGTGGAGAAAGTGAGACACCGAGAGAGAGTGAGACATGGAGAGAATGAGACATGGGGAGAGAGAAAGACATGGGGAGAGAGACATGGAAAGAAAGATAAGGGGAGACAGAATGAGACATGGCGAGGGAGAGAGAGTGAGACATGCGGAGAGAGCTACGGGGAGAGAATGAGACGTGGGGAGAGAGAATGAGACACGGGGAGAGAGAATGAGACACGGGGAGAGAGACATGTGGAGAAAGAGTGAGACACCGAGAGAAAGAGACACGGAGAGAATGAGACATGGGAAGAGAGAAAGACATGGGGAGAGAGTAATGGAAAGAGAGATACGGGGAGAGAGAATGAGACATGAGAGAGACATCGGGAGAGAGAGATACGGGGAGACAGAATGAGACATGGTGAGAGAGATACAAAGAGAGAGAGAGTGAGACATGGGGAGAGAGTGAGACATGGGGAGAGAGTGAGACATGGGGAGAGAGTGAGACATGGGGAGAGAGTGAGATATGGGGAGAGAGTTACTGGGAGAGAGTGAGACATGGGGAGAGAGTGAGACACCGAGAGAGTGGGACATGGGGAGAGTGAGACATGGGGAGAGAGTGAGACACGGATAGAGTGGGACATGGGGAGAGTGATACATGGGGAGAGAGTGAGACATGGGGAGAGAGTGAGACACGGAGAGAGTGGGACATGGGGAGAGTGGGACATGGGGAGAGAGTGAGACATGGGGAGAGAGTGGGACACGGAGAGAGTGGGACATGGGGAGAGTTAGACATGGGGAGAGAGTGAGACATGGGGAGAGAGTGAGACACGGAGAGAGTGGGACATGGGGAGAGTGAGACATGGGGAGAGTGAGACATGGGGAGAGAGTGAGACATGGGGAGAGAGTGAGACATGGGGAGAGAGTGAGACATGGGGAGAGAGTGAGACATGGGGAGAGTGAGACATGGGGAGAGAGTGAGACATGGGGAGAGTGAGACGTGGGGAGAGTGAGACATGGGGAGAGTGAGACATGGGGAGAGAGTGAGACATGGGGAGAGAGTGAGACATGGGGAGAGAGTTACGGGGAGAGAGTGAGACATGGGGAGAGAGTAAGACACGGAGAGAGTGAGACATGGGGAGAGAGTGAGACATGGGGAGAGAGTGAGACATGGGGAGAGAGTGAGACATGGGGAGAGAGTGAGACATGGGGAGAGAGTGAGACATGGGGAGAGAGTGAGACATGGGGAGAGAGTGAGACATGGGGAGAGAGTGAGACATGGGGAGAGAGTGAGACATGGGGAGAGAGTGAGACATGGGGAGAGAGTCATGGAAAGAAAGATAAGGGGAGACAGAATGAGACATGGCGAGGGAGAGAGAGAGTGAGGCATGAGGAGAGAGATACGGGGAGAGAATGAGACGTGGGGAGAGAGAATGAGACACGGGGAGAGAGACATGTGGAGAAAGTGAGACACCGAGAGAGAGTGAGACATGGAGAGAATGAGACATGGGGAGAGAGAAAGACATGGGGAGAGAGACATGGAAAGAAAGATAAGGGGAGACAGAATGAGACATGAGAGAGACATCGGGAGAGCGAGATACGGGGAGACATAATGAGACATGGTGAGAGAGATACAAGGAGAGAGAGTGAGACATGGGGAGAGAGTGAGACATGGGGAGAGAGTGAGACATGGGGAGAGAGTGAGATATGGGGAGAGAGTTACTGGGAGAGAGTGAGACATGGGGAGAGAGTGAGACACGGAGAGAGTGGGTCATGGGGAGAGTGAGACATGGGGAGAGAGTGAGACATGGGGAGAGAATGAGACATGGGGAGAGTGAGACATGGGGAGAGTGAGACATGGGGAGAGAGTGAGACATGGGGAGAGAGTGAGACATGGGGAGAGAGTGGGACACGGAGAGAGTGGGACACGGGGAGAGTGAGACATGGGGAGAGAGTGAGACATGGGGAGAGAGTGAGACATGGGGAGAGAGTGAGACATGGGGAGAGAGTGAGATATGGGGAGAGAGTTACTGGGAGAGAGTGAGACATGGGGAGAGAGTGAGACACCGAGAGAGTGGGACATGGGGAGAGTGAGACATGGGGAGAGAGTGAGACACGGATAGAGTGGGACATGGAGAGAGTGAGACATGGGGAGAGAGTGAGACATGGGGAGAGAGTGAGACACGGAGAGAGTGGGACATGGGGAGAGTGGGACATGGGGAGAGAGTGAGACATGGGGAGAGAGTGAGACATGGGGAGAGAGTGAGACATGGGGAGAGAGTGAGACATGGGGAGAGAGTGAGACATGGGGAGAGAGTCATGGAAAGAAAGATAAGGGGAGACAGAATGAGACATGGCGAGGGAGAGAGAGAGTGAGGCATGAGGAGAGAGATACGGGGAGAGAATGAGACGTGGGGAGAGAGAATGAGACACGGGGAGAGAGACATGTGGAGAAAGTGAGACACCGAGAGAGAGTGAGACATGGAGAGAATGAGACATGGGGAGAGAGAAAGACATGGGGAGAGAGACATGGAAAGAAAGATAAGGGGAGACAGAATGAGACGTGAGAGAGACATCGGGAGAGAGAGATACGGGGAGACATAATGAGACATGGTGAGAGAGATACAAGGAGAGAGAGAGTGAGACATGGGGAGAGAGTGAGACATGGGGAGAGAGTGAGACATGGGGAGAGAGTGAGATATGGGGAGAGAGTTACTGGGAGAGAGTGAGACATGGGGAGAGAGTGAGACACGGAGAGAGTGGGACATGGGGAGAGTGAGACATGGGGAGAGAGTGAGACATGGGGAGAGAATGAGACATGGGGAGAGTGAGACATGGGGAGAGTGAGACATGGGGAGAGAGTGAGACATGGGGAGAGAGTGAGACATGGGGAGAGAGTGAGACATGGGGAGAGAGTGGGACACGGAGAGAGTGGGACACGGGGAGAGTGAGACATGGGGAGAGAGTGAGACATTGGGAGAGAGTGAGACATGGGGAGAGAGTGAGACATGGGGAGAGAGTGAGACATGGGGAGAGAGTGAGATATGGGAAGAGAGTTACTGGGAGAGAGTGAGACATGGGGAGAGAGTGAGACACCGAGAGAGTGGGACATGGGGAGAGTGAGACATGGGGAGAGAGTGAGACACGGATAGAGTGGGACATGGGGAGAGTGAGACATGGGGAGAGAGTGAGACATGGGGAGAGAGTGAGACACGGAGAGAGTGGGACATGGGGAGAGTGGGACATGGGGAGAGAGTGAGACATGGGGAGAGAGTGGGACACGGAGAGAGTGGGACATGGGGAGAGTGAGACATGGGGAGAGAGTGAGACATGGGGAGAGAGTGAGACACGGAGAGAGTGGGACATGGGGAGAGTGAGACATGGGGAGAGTGAGACATGGGGAGAGAGTGAGACATGGGGAGAGAGTGAGACATGGGGAGAGAGTGAGACATGGGGAGAGTGAGACATGGGGAGAGAGTGAGACATGGGGAGAGTGAGACGTGGGGAGAGTGAGACATGGGGAGAGTGAGACATGGGGAGAGTGAGATGGGGAGAGAGTGAGACATGGGGAGAGAGTTACGGGGAGAGAGTGAGACATGGGGAGAGAGTAAGACACGGAGAGAGTGAGACATGGGGAGAGAGTGAGACATGGGGAGAGAGTGAGACATGGGGAGAGAGTGAGACATGGGGAGAGAGTGAGACATGGGGAGAGAGTGAGACATGGGGAGAGAGTGAGACATGGGGAGAGAGTGAGACATGGGGAGAGAGTGAGACATGGGGAGAGAGTGAGACATGGGGAGAGAGTCATGGAAAGAAAGATAAGGGGAGACAGAATGAGACATGAGAGAGACATCGGGAGAGAGAGATACGGGGAGACATAATGAGACATGGTGAGAGAGATACAAGGAGAGAGAGAGTGAGACATGGGGAGAGAGTGAGACATGGGGAGAGAGTGAGACATGGGGAGAGAGTGAGATATGGGGAGAGAGTTACTGGGAGAGAGTGAGACATAGGGATTGAGTGAGACACGGAGAGAGTGAGACATGGGGAGAGAATGAGACATGGGGAGAGTGAGACATGGGGAGAGTGAGACATGGGGAGAGAGTGAGACATGGGGAGAGAGTGAGACATGGGGAGAGAGTGAGACATGGGGAGAGAGTGGGACACGGAGAGAGTGGGACACGTGGAGAGTGAGACATGGGGAGAGAGTGAGACATGGGGAGAGAGTGAGACATGGGGAGAGAGTGATACATGGGGAGAGTGAGACATGGGGAGAGTGAGACATGGGAAGAGTGAGACTTGGGGAGAGTGAGACATGGGGAGAGAGTGAGACATGGGGAGAGAGTGAGGCATGGGGAGAGTGGGACATGGGGAGAGTGGGACATGGGGAGAGTGAGACATGGGGAGAGAGTGAGACATGGGGAGAGAGTGGGACATGGGGAGAGAGTGAGACATGGGGAGAGAGTGAGACATGGGGAGAGAGTGAGACACGGAGAGAGTGAGACATGGGGAGAGAGTGAGACATGGGGAGAGAGTGA